TTGCATTTTACAATAAGTATAATACGATGGGATGGATATCAAAGGATCCAAAGACTTATTTTGTGTCAATGCGTTTAAGTAGCTTCCCACTCTTAAAAGATTGTTCTGCACCGGAATTATTTAATAAACCAATAACTAATGAAAAATCGTTGTTTAAATAAACGGTTATTACCTTACGCCAGCTATTGGTGAAGAGAACTTTTGTACTCTGTTGATAAATATCTCAAATTTTCAACATTCAAAATTCACTGGTTAATATTTCTAAAGAACTCAACATTTATCTAATAAATTGTAAATAATTAACATTCTTAACTTTTACAAACAATAAATGACTGTTGTTCACGATTTGTAAATTTGCCGGATCTACAGTAAAGTAATTAATTAGAATTTTTAATATCGTCTACTATGTTTGCTGGAAAATGAAAACGTTTCAAGTTATTTAATCGACCCACACAATAGTGTCGTGGTCCGTGTGTTATTGGCTGACACGTGTGTTTATTTTTAACGTCCACGCGCCAGTCGCCAGTGAGCCATAACGTTTATTGTGTGTTGTGTGGCGCTTCGGCCACCTGATGAATGCCTGGCTACCCGCCAAAAATCGCGACAAAACAAGCAAGTGGAACTGATCCGTCTTGAGAGTGAATGTTCTTCCATATAACTCATAACTGTTTTTTAACAGAGGGCCAGGCCAGGCTTATAAGTAGACCATGGGATTGCATCGCAGCGAGAACAGCTTATTGTGCACCCTCATTCGCAGGTCCTAATTCTCCGTCAAATCCCAGGTTCTTGGTGAACCATGAGACCCTTTTGAGTATAGTAACATGTTCTTCCCTTTGATTTCCATTTGATATAGGCCAAGGTATCTCAAACGCAGACCTTGTAGGGTTGGGCACATAATCACGTGGAAGGCTGTCTCCTCCTCCTCTCCACATTTCCTATATAGGAGGCTTTCAACTTCAATTCTCATCCTTGTGTAGATGTCCGTGGAATACCCAGTGCCCGCTGATGAAGCCAACCACCTTCCGCGCAGGGTATTCCTATATTCAGCGCATTTACCGCTATCGCACCGGTAGGTGTCTGCAGCATTCGCTTTGACTGTATGTTGCCATCTGTTCTTTCCCAGCCCCTTCGATGTCCTATGCTCATCCACTGGTAAACAGCTCTCCGTGCTGTGTTGTAGGCAATACCAAATGTCGGCTCTAGCGGGCTTTCATCTCCTTTGTTTGCCCACTTGGCAGCTCCCTCATTGCCAGCAATACCTTTGTGCCCTGGAACCCAACTAAGGATAACCTTGTTGTTCTCTCCCAGGGCTTTCATGGCCTGATGACAGTCCCATACTGGCTTAGAGGTAAAGTCAAAACTGTCAAGTGCCATTAGTGCTGCTTTGATGTCAGAGTTCATGTATATGGTGTGGCCTGTCCCTGTCAGACCACGCTCCATACACTCTTGCACACTTGGACAGGGTAACAACTTATGTCTGGAATTCAGTGACCAGATACCCCAGGCTACGCAAAACTGCGACTTGGGCCTGACTCATATATATTCCGCCCTAGTGCCCGTTGGCTTTTTCGAGCCATCCGTATACCAAGTGATCCCCATTTTCATGTATTCAGGTTCACCTTTATTCCAGGCAGTCCTGTCAACAATGTTGACATTGTATGGCTTTTCTAGATCTGGGATCTTCACCATCTTGTCTGGTAACATTTCCAAGGTGTCCATACGCACTGTGTCCACAATCCTTGTTTGCTCACTGGAAGCATTATACTTCCAGTTGCCACTGTAAACCATTCTGTAGGCTGCCATTCTTGCCCCCCTAACACAATGATGTCGAGAGGTGGGAGGCTTAGCGCTACTTCCAGGGCTGTTGGGGTGCATCTGGCTCCTGTAAGGCATGCCACTCGCTGGCTCTTTTGTAGTCTTTACACCTGTAGTTTGCATTACCTTGGTCCACCAGACTGCTAAGCCATACACCATAATCGATCTTGCAGCCCTAGTGTATTGCCAGTCAGTCATTTGTGGGCTTACTAACCCAACAACCCTCATCATCATAAGTGTGGTCTTTGAGCGTTGCGTTGGTCTGTTGTCTGTGGTTACATGTGCAAAATGGCTGTCACAGGTTAGCTTGTCGTCCAGCCTTATTCCTAGGTAACTGTTTACTCATACCTTATAAAATATAATACACAAAATATAAGACAAATAAGATAGCAAACTTTGTCTGAAGATGACATCAACGCCATAATCGAAAAATAACCCTATTTGCAGTCCCAACAGTTGATGGTCGACCTAAAATATTGGTGCAAAGCAATAATTTAAATTCCATTAATTTCCTAAAATGACTCACTCATATTACGCATGTACGCATTTCCCAATTCAAAGACCATCAAAGATAGTCATTTAAATGGACCACAGTTAGTTAAATGAGGTCACTAAACCAGTTGACACTTACATCTTTATAGTTGTAATCACAAAATCTCTGGACTGGTCAAATTTGGGCCGAACTAGATCTGGGCGGGGCTCCGAGGCAACGTGAGGCGGAGTTCAAAATTCTTTTTATCTCTGTCCCATGACCTCATAATCAAACGGTCTTTCACATCCCCTAGATAACTGATAAGAATGAACATTAGTCGATCATCAAGACGTATTCAACCGAAGTTGTTGATTCATACGTTGCACTTGGCATAAGAAGGATATCAATGTACAGTATTTTATGTTGTATTCTCATTTATAAACTTCAGTGATAAAAGTGGGAATTTAAGGGATAAAATGGGATAAATATGAGTAGTGTATATGTTGCATAGAGTTAATACTTTTCAATTTATTTAAGTAGAGGGTTTGGGCTCGTGAAGAAAGAAAATGGATTTTTGTTGGACTCAAGGTATGTAAGAATTAAATACATTTTGATAGTCGAAGTTAAAAAAATTTTGTTTATAGTTTACATGTACTATAATGTTATTCTAACATGTACATTTTGATTAGAAAAATAATTTAGTTATCAATCCGACAAGTCAAAAGTTACACTTGTGGTGACTAGACTTTTCAAATTATAAAAAAAGATTGTTAATGAATTATTGCGTCCATGGAGCTACTGAAGTTAGCTTTTCGAGATTTAAAGATTTTGTACGAACCTCCCACACGAGTGCACACTATTCAATTTAATTTTCTTTTGGGTTTTCACAAAGTGATGGGTGCTGGGGATATTTGATGTTGAGGTTAACAATTATTCACCCTTTCTTTTTGGCATAGTTTATTTAGTACATGGTAAATAGGGTATATCCTATACTCTAATACCACCTATGTCTGTCTACCTGTATGTCTGTAATATTGAAATTCAGCGGAAGGATTTTGATCAAACTTTGGAAATATCCTATACTATAAAACGAGCTATATCTGTCCCGTATGTAGGTCCCGGGGACCGAGCATTGCTCGAGGTGTGTACGTCATTTGTTCAAGAGGTTAAAAATAAAATAAATGACGAGTAGAACAATAATACCCCCGCCGCAGCAAACCTGCAGACTAAGCGAATTTCCATTTGCCTAATTGGATTTACGCTAAAACGTCTCCTTAAAAATATCATATTTTTTCCCTGTTTAAATAGTATTAGCTTAACGAGTACTCTAGGTTTGCTGCAACAGGGAGGGTAAAAAAGTTTTTTTGGTAAAATGTTAATAGTTTAGTATGAAATAAATGGATTTTCCAATATCTCAATAAATATGAATTTGAACAGTTGGTGTTTTTGAGCTCTAGACCTCAAAACGAAAAAATTAAATCGGTCCCAGGTCTTACCATGAGTACTCACTACGGCAATCGCTTATTCCCTATATGGGAAATTTGCTCAAATGAAAAAAAAAAAAAACGGTTAGATTTAAAGATTTAAATCGAAAATAAGAAAACCAAGAGTTTTATTGTTGTAATATGACTTTTAGTGTTAAATTGACTTGAAAAAAAACCATTGTAATTAATGAAAAATATATAGCCTATATATATAAATACCTCCGAATCAAAGGGCTTTCACTGGATAACTATGACATACCGGTAGTAAAAAAAAGAAAAACACAACAAGTATCACCTTGCCAAAAAATACTGTTTTATTGTTATTCTGTACAACTATATTTTTTTGGATTGCCAAGTTTTCAAAGAAAGACTTTATTTTTATGAGACAGCGCAAAAAAGAAAAGAAGCGTGTAAAAAGTCAAATAGAAGATAAATTCAGCATAATCATGTTTGCTATGATTTATCTTCGGGTCATGTCAAGACCAAAGGTCTTGCGTTCAAATACAAGCCTCGGCATATTTACTCGGTAGTCTGTGCTGTGAGGAGTCACTTATCACGTGATTTCGGTGACATGTGTTATTTATATCAGAATTTAGCAACTAATTAACTATTTGCAGTGATTTGGTTTGTCGTCTATGAGTTTTATCGAGCTTAGTTTTATTTTATTATGTTTAGAAAATAATAAACTACCGGTATGTAAAAATGTTTTTCAGGTCGATAATATATCTTGAAATCTTTTGTTCGGAATTGATATATTTACTTGTGTAATGGCTTTGGAATGAGTTGTGTGTAACGTCAAGTTTATTTTTTATAGAAACGTGTTCTTGGTTATTATAGACGTTAATGTGTTTTCGCACTTTTTAAATAGTCATGCGAATGTAGTTGAAACAACATTTGTAAATTTGAAATATTTGTCATAGCGTTCTTTGTTTCCAAAGTTTTTTTTCATTCAAAACCCGCTAGATCCTGTTTTTATGCCACTAAAAGCATCAAATCAAAATTTGGTTGTTTATTGCCATCGAATGTGAATCTTACTGCATGAGGCTCTTCCCGCTGCTAGACATTTTACTGACTTCCTTTTCTTCTTCCTCTCTCTACAATCACGTGACAACAGCTATGTTTTTCCCACGGCCTACTAGATTTCACGACCGCGCCGATCCACGGGTGTTATCAGATGACTGATAGGGTATCAGTGTTTTGGCGCGGGTGTCCACGGCATCGCTATAGTCAGGCGGAGATATGCATCGACATCGCCAGTCCGTAGCCTCTAGTCTGAGTGATGACAGCGACATTGCCGAAATACGACGTGAGTTTTCAATCAGATTATTTTATTATGTTAGTAGTGGTTTTAGCCGTGCTTCACAATGGGAGGCACACTGATGAGATAGAGACTAAAAGTTGATTAAATTCAATTAACTGTGTGACAAACTAAAATTGACTTGGAACGTAAATAGAGCTAATGTAATACGATGTTTTTCTTTTTATGGAGACCAACTAATAATTTACTTCTTAACTTTGAAAGCTCGATGTGGGTTCGTGGGTGCGAGGTCCTAATGGGACAAGGCCTTAAAGCATGGACACCTCATATTTTAACTGTACAGTTTTGTTCTAAACATAGTAGTCAAACGATTAGGTCACACTTTTAATACACTTTTACTGTGATTGAAATTTTTTCTAATTTCAACGACTATAGTCACCCTGAATTTTAAAACCTGTTAGCAATTTCTTTGTTTTAGCTGTAATCATAAATTAGTGTATTGAATATTATACCACAAGGCTAAACAAACAGATTCTTGATTTTCCGTTTGGAAGCAAGAGGTGCTTCAATATCATTATTGTATTCGGCTTTTGCCGGTATTCGTATACATTACTGAAGTGGATTATATTCTAAGCGCCTCTGAAATGACTTACTAATATTCATATAAATATTTTAGTATAAGATGAGGTTTTTATTCCTAGGACGCTAGGCACGAGCTCGGGATTGTTTTAGCGAATTTCCCTATAGGGAAGTAGCTATTACCGTAGGTCTCATGGTAACACTTAGGCCCGGGACCGATTTACTTTTTCATTTTGATGTCCCCAGAGGCCAAAAACACCATTCGTTCAAATTTTTATATATGTATATATATATATATATATATATGTGTGTCCGTGAACACGATAACTTGAGTAATTTTTATCCGATTTTGATGAAATTTGGTTTAAAGGTGTAAGGCGGGATAAACTTGAATGAGTTCGCGATCCAGCATGATCGGACCATGGGAACAGGGTTTTATGGGGGGTTTTATGGGGTCAAAATTGGTTTTTCTCACTTTTGACCCTCAAAACACAAAATTTCCCAATTTTCCTCTAAACCTTCTTAAAGAGCTTAAAAAAACAAACAATTCAGTATATCAAAGTGTTTTTGTACGGTTATTGGTTACGGAGAAAACTAAAAAATTGGTCAATTTAAAATTCCCATGTTATTCTTATGGAGAATATTATAAAATGTTGTAGTTTGCTTGTTTATGGATATCTTTTGATCAAACTTGGCAAATATATTCATTTTATACTAAGCAATAATTATTTTACTTAAAACACACACTTTATTAGTTTCCTTGTAGCAGCAAACCTAGGTACTCGTTAAACCTAATGTTATTTAAATAGATCAATTGAAAATTAATTCAGCCAAATGGAAATTCGCTAAGACAGCAGGTTTGCTGCGGCGGGGGTATTTCACATTACTTCAGGCTAGGGCTGCGGCATTGTCACTTAGATAAAATCCATCGGTGATTTGGCGGGATTTGAACCCGGGACTCTCACGCTCTAACCACTAGACCAGCTCGCTTCCCCATAAGATGAAGTAGCATTTACATTGTTGGCAGGAAAAAACAATAGTTCCGTGAAAAAGATTATTGCCACAAGGAAGTTAGGGGTTGTAACGGAAGTTAACTGATTAGTTATTTCAACATTAGTGTTGACGTAGACTATGTCAAATTCACAAGTTCATCTTATTTATCAGTGACCGATACACAACTGATGACAACTTAGTTCAGAATAATCATCTTAATAATCAACTAATCATCGTATGTTTACGATATTACTACCTACCGTACTAGGCCGGACTTATTATCAAATTAAGTGTCTCCCTCTTGTTATCATACCCCCTTTCGCACCCCCCCCATTTTTACCCCCCTTTTGTACACCCTTTGTATACCCCCTTTTTTAGTATCTATGAATACTAAATTAGATGGCAAGTTCTGAAACACATTATATGACAGTTTGCACCATTGACTATATAACACTAGTGTTAGTCAATGGTTTTGCACGCAGAGGACTGTATAATGTACCGGGGAGTGCCATTGGCATTTTGACGTGTTGATCTTTTGGCTTACGATATCCTCAAAACGTTGACTTGGGGCTTTGGGAAATAAATGTCGTTTGTTGTGCTTGGCAACGATGAAATAATTAGTACAGTAACTTGTTTACTTTTACCTTTACGACACTTTTAAAATCTATTATATATGTAAACGGTTAAGGTAATTTACCAAATAAAAATATTGGCATATTGCACATCAAAATGAAGCTTAGAGTGTGTAGATTTGCCGAAAAGTATTGATATAAGGGCTCTGCCCCACAGGCTGATTTCCAAAGGGCCACGCCTGGCATTCTTCCAATGTTTATATGATTTAATTTAATTTAGTTACCGTAATGAAACAGCTGGTCAGTACAATGAACTGGTGTTTGTTTATTTACTCGAATAAGATGTTTGTGACGCTTTATGTAGATTGAATAGGGTTATGTTTGGTTTTAAAGTGAGGTTAAATTTTGTAAACTAATGCTCAAAGTTTCATTTTTTTATTTATATAGTAATCTACATGTGAAGAGGCTTAAATAAAATTGAAGAAAATGGTAAAACATGTCATTCATAAAGCATCAATATGAAGCAATAATTGATGCTATTTCTACACTAAGGTATGTTATAATATTCTTAGGGATCTATTAACATCAAAAGTAGGGGTTTGAAAGTAAGCAGGTTTACGCTTTTGAATCAGTTTATATTTTCAAACTAAATCATAGGGTTGCTGTATTTTAAAACACACATCAGCACCACTTTAATAGCTCTCAGGCCACATTTTCTTCCCGTTGCAAAGCACGGGTATAGCAGCTTGTATATTTCTATTCAGATTGCCACACATCTGATTGAAACAAATCAACAATTTAATACGATTATTTATTCGATGATGATGAAATGGATTATTGGAAATACTGGAAACTCCAAAATAATGAAGAAAAGAAGTGTTTTAGTAGCATTGTTCTAAATTAATGGCCATATCAGGGGATCTACATGGACAGTCATCAAACAGTTTAAAAAAAATGTACAATATATAATACAGCAGATAACAGTAGAAAAAAAACACTAATAAATTGACAAAGAGTTCCTAAACGAACTGACCTACCGATAGCCACTGACCCTGATCTTATAATAATTGTGCTTCTTGACGATAAGGAAACTGGTGTTTAATTGTGGGTTATCAGTGCAAAACTTGTTATTGATTTTGCAAAATGTGCGGGGTGAACTTCGATCGCAGTTTTATAGTTTTAGAAAAGCGTTTAGCATTAAAATTATTTTTATGTTTTTACTATGTGAGAGGTTTTAGTTCTGTTTCATGTAACAATGAATCACAGAAAACATGGACGGGTTTACATAGTTTGTAAATTAAAAACGAATGGAACTTATAGCAATTTATAGTATTATTTCAAGGTTTTTGGGTACCGGTAACTTAAAAAATCGTACACTCCCAATTAACTGCATTGTGACTCTATTTTAAGCTACGGTGAATGAAGTATAACCTGTGCATTTTAGTTTGTATCAGGAACAAATAATAACTTAACTCGTTTTCTCTGAGTAAGAAAAATATTTGCAATAATAATACAGACTTTTTACTGAGATCACAAATAAAATATAATATTTAGTTTGAAATAATCAGATCAAAATTTATATTAGGATCGCTAAAAAACTACAATTTTCACGAAAATCTGAGTTTTCCATCTCAAAATATTGTACAGTATCATACTATATTAAATTACATATGATACAAAGAAGTAATTACATTTTTTTAATCCATACTCTTAGACTATTATCCACTTATTTTTACCCAATAAACCTATTGACTCTATCAGTATTACATTTTTGTTAAAGACTAATAAATTAATAAACTTCCTTTGGATTGTATTCCCGTTTTACGTTCCATAAAACATTTTCAAGAGGTTACTCGTTCAAGAGCGTGATAAATACACTGTTATTATTAGCTCAAGTTTTGTTTGTCCGTGTTAAAAGAGAAAGGGCTTTAGGATTGCAAATTTAGCATTTTAGGCGGATTTATAGTCATTTTAGTAAGTGTGTTGCGGCGGGGAATAATTCGGTGCGTAGAGCAGAAGGCCTACTGTTATTTCGTTCTCTGTTTGAAGCTAACCCATAACTCAGCATGTTATATCTCGGCGGGTGTCTATGTCTAATCAATCAATTGACATTTTAGACAGCTGTTAGTTAACACATTGTTGCTAGCTGACAGACTTAACTGATGAAACTACTTATAGTTCACTCGCAAGTAAGGTTGCAATGATTACAAATAGTTGAAAATATAAAATACATTTACATCGTAAAATGGCTACTTTTTATTGTTTTGTTGGTAACTACCCTCTTGAAATATGTTTACAATGACTTGTACTAAAAGCTATTTTGAATGTACTTAACTTAATTATATTTATTCAACAATCCAACTCGAGAAGATAACAATAAATTACTTCTATGCCTTATGAGATCTCCAAGCTGTCAATAATTTGTTGATGACAGGATAATTACACATATCTTGCACCACTGGTTAGTTAAGTGGAAAGTGTAAGTGATACAATAGTGTTTTAAACATTTAACTTACTGTGGCCAACAATGAACTTTGACGGAGGACTCATCTAGTTGACTAAATAATTCGTAGTTTGAATATGATTATGGGTACATTTTAATTCGCACCAGGCCACTATTTTGAGTCAAATTTGGTATGTTACTAGTGTTAGGGTACTCCCATAAAATTAGGCATTTTTTTGAATAATTGTCTCGTATTGAAACTTAAGAGAATGATAAATTATCGTAGATCTCAAGAAGTCGGAATAAAAACGCGTTAATGTAAACATCGTTGGGTTAACCCTTCTCATCCCATTGCAAATTTGAAGCTCGTTTTACGTGTCTAGTTCATGTCCGGTGACACTGATCGCTAGTGTCGACGAAATTGTGTTTCTTTTACTTTAGGGTCAATTTCATGAGTTGTG